GTGAACCTTCAGTCCCACAGCCTGTGTCCACCGCAACACTGCTGATTCTATAACTCTGGCCCTGTGAGCTTGCTTTTTGGCTCCACAGGTCAATCTTGGGATGCGCCTGTGGACCAATTGGTGGGGCCCACGGAATACTAAGGACCCTCAGGTCCTGGTCCAACCTCCCACGGGCGCCACTTGTGAGATACACGGTGAAAACCGGTATTGGCCCATGTTGGTGTGCACCCTAGGTGTAAGTAAGAATGAAGCCTCCAGAGGGAGTTTTATTGAGGCAAGGTGCTGTGTGTTAGGATAAACCCTCTGGGGCTGAAATAGAATAGCATCCAAGTGTTGCAAGAGCCAAACAGAAACCGAGACAGCATAAAGTAAGCCAAGACATGTAGAGATCAGAATATACTTTAAATGCAACTTACAACAGCCTATATGTTTCAGACTGGCAGCAAAACCAGTAACCACAATCATTGGGAACAAAGCCTCACCAAGCCAGTGACCAAGGATGTGAACAAGAACAAGAGCAACAAGAAGAGACACACAGCAGCTCCATGATTATTTAAACAGACCTAATCCTCAGCTCAAAGCAAACACCAGAACTAATCATTTGCACCATTCAAAGCCCCATTGCACACAGAATAAGCCAACCCAGTGGAGCAGAACTACTTGCTAGAATCAACCAAGACCTTAACAAGTAAGTCTGTTCCAATTAGAGATGGTTGCTTTGCATACGGATATCTGCTCACAATTTCAGCGGAATCAGGCATCTGCATCTGCATCTGCATCCTCTGGCGGGTATCTGCACAGATATTGGCGGATGCCCGCCCTTTTACTGGTCAACAATCGCCGACTGGAAGGATAAACTTCCAGCAGAGCGGGATTTTTTTTTTCAAAAAAAGGGAAAAAAACCACCCCCCTCCCCCTTGGCCTACACTGCACAAATTAACTCATCGGGCAAGCCAGTCCGATGAGTGCTCGGAATGACGTCGCCCAAAGAGTCCTGTTGTGCGCCACCACTGGGCTGCTGAACTCATCGGACAAAGTCTTTCCAAAGACTCGTCGGACTGGCTGGTCCAACGAGTTAGTTTATGCAGTGCTAGAGAGGCAGAGGCCACACTGTCAGGAGGAATCCCTCCTGGCAAGCGTCTACATGCCAGCTTGCCAAGAGCGGTTCTTCGCGGCGAGCTGGTTTTTAAACCAGCTTGTTGGAAGGACTCCCTTCTGACAAGCTAGTCTGTGTACCAGCTTGTTTGGAGGGGTTCCTCCCAACAAGAGGGTATGTACACCAGCTTGTTGAAAGGAAACCGACGGGCTGGTATAAAATCCAGCTTGTTGGAAGGGATTCCTTCCGACGAGCTGGTATGTACACCAACTTGTTGTGAGGAATCCCTCTGGCAAGCTGGATTGTGTACCAGCTTGCCGGGAGGGATTCCTCCCAACGAGCTGGGATAAATACCAGCTTGTCGCCAGGGATTCCTTCCAAAGAGCTGGAATGTGCACCAGCTCTCCAGGAGGGATTCCTACCGTTGGTGTGGCCTCTGCTTCTCTAGGCCAAGGGGGGGGGGTTTCTGTTTTTTGAAAAACAAATTCCCACTCTATTTCAGTCTCTTGGCACCGGGTATCCCTTAGGATACCTGAATATCTGCTGGGATTTCATGGAAAAGGCGGCATACACACCCAAATCCTCATCCGCTGGTGGGTATCTGTTGGCTGTGGTGAGTATCCACCAGCGGATAACAGGTATCTGAAATGGATACCCAGAGAACATCTCTGTTTCCAATTGTGCAGGAATGAGATTCAGGAGCAGGAGCTAACACAGCCTATGATTTCAGAGTAGAGATGGCCCGCAGGTACCTGGATCATTTTCATGGAACCTGCTTCAAAGTGCTTGTGATCAAACAGAACCAATATGTAACACTTTCATATCATCAGATAACACTTGGACTTGAGTAAGAAACTAACCTAAATGCATGGCCTGGCACAGGGGAAAGTACAGGTGCATTCCTAGACAGTTAGTTTAGTGTCTTCCTCAACCCCCAGTAGTACTTGATGAGATGAAATTGTTACATATTGATTTTGTTTTGTCACAAGCAATTTGCAGCAGGTTCCATGAAAATCAGCCAGGTACCTGCGGGCCATCTCTATAAATTCAGAGATTGCAATCTGAACAATAAGCCTCCTCAGATCATCCGTAGGGACCAGGACAGCTACCCCGTAGCCTCAGACAGAGAGTATACAACTCTCCTATTTCACAATGATAAACAGACATTGAGATGCTAATCAGACAAATAAACACAGATCCAATTTTCATCTCTCTCTTTCCTTCTAACATCAGTTCTTCTCTTTTACCTCTCAGACTTCTTCTCTCATCTCACCTTATTGTACCTGTTTTGGCTCATCCAAACAGTCCACCAATATAGCCAAGAAGCACAAAAAATCAGTTCTGCTCTTAGGTAAATCTTTCCTTCTCCTTCATCAATTCCTAATATAAATATGAAACTCTTGGGCATAGTCATAGACCAATTACAGCCAAACAAAAAAAGCTTGCAGTCTTGGTTAGCAAAAAAAAAGAAAAACATTGTACAAAGCTGGAATGTTTGGAAGACTACACCACCCTGTATGCCCACTTGCATACAGGGTTTACTGATGATTTTTTTGCTATCTTTTTTATCCCTTGAATTCAGCTCATGAGGGTAGTATCATTGGAATCCTGATGGCAATTTTGGTCAGGCCCGGTCTCAATGTGTTGCTCCCCCTGTCTTGCCCCCCCCCCCAGCACAGTGGCCAGTCGGGTCCCCTTGCTGATGCCGGCAAGAATTCTGGTATATGTACACTCAATGTATTCTTCCAAAGCTTCCAACTCCAGATGATTTTTTTTTATTTGTTATTAGAAATTCCGCCAACTAAGACCATAAGCTTTCTCGGTTTGGCTGTAGATCATTTATCAAATTGAAATAAAATATCTTAGTTGTTTGAAATCTTACACTGTGGTCTTGTGGGGCTCCATTCAAGCCTTGTGATATATTAGAAAGTTTAGCTAAATGTTCAAAAAATCCTGCCACCCATTCTTCAAAGTTGCTGTACTGAAATTATTTTACACAAAGTAGTTGGAAGTCAGATATCTTCCCTTGGAGCTCATCTGACAGTCTCAACGTAACATATTCAGCTAGATTGAATTTTCTGAAAGATGTTTCTTCTTTGTCAAAATTCAAAATTGCTTGTAAGTTTTGCACGTGTGTGCTGAAGTTCAGGAAGTTTTCAAATTCTTGCATATTAAGCTGTTGGATGCTCTTTTTTATGTCTGTGTGCCAATCAGGTGGAGGAGAAAAAGCCACCAGTTGTTCCTTAAATTCTTTCCAGGGTTTTCAAATGTAGCTTCCTGCTTTGTTTGCATAAAATGACAGTAGGTTGGTTTCAGCTAAAAGACCACCTTGAATCCAAATCTTGTTGTTGGTGTTCTCAGCTGCCTTGGAGGTGAACAAAAATCTGAAGGCCATAGATCCACTTTGGCATGGGTTCCACTGATTGGAACGGTCCTCAAAATACCATACCATCTGAAATCTTGAATCTTTGTAATTCTACTAGACCTTGGATAGAGTGGGTAGGTGGTGGGGTTGAGTGCTCCAACTTTGCCGCCACATTCATGGCAATTTCTTCTAACCGGGAAATTCAGGCCACATTTGCCTCTCAATCTGCTTGGGCTTGGGTGTGAGTAGCCTGTAGTTGAAGTAGAGTGATCTGTTTTATTGCCCTCAGTGCTTAAAGGCAGTCACCCACACTTGTTGACATATTTTCTGAGATTTCTCCTTCTGGGTATTTGGATTTAGATGATGCCATTGATTCAGTTGGGGAGGCAAGCAATTCCTGTTGGCAGTATTGTGTGTAGAGGGGCTTTGTAGTTGTGGTGCAATTGATGATGGGAGGATGAAGGTCTTGGGATTGAGCTTGTGTGGTTGTTGGGTTTGGGAGAAGTGAAGCTTCAAGATGTGGTGTGTTAGGGAAAGGAATGTGTATTGCTTTTTCATTTAACTGGGTGGAAATCCTATCTCAGTGGTGTTGATCCTCATTTTTTTTCTTAATGATAGCTTCCAGATTGGCAACACATGAGATTAGGGGTTCCTTGTTTGATTGTCTCATTGTCATGAACAATCACTTGTGTTGTCATCAATCCTTAACAGCTCCTTCTGGGTACACTGCCAAAGTGATTGTATCAGATTGCTACATCTGGCATTACATTAGATAAAAATACCTGATATTACATCAGGAAAAACTGGGATTGTATCTACCAGAATTGATATTATATCTACCTAAAATGATATTGTGTCTATCATGAAAGGTATTGTATCAGACCAGCCTATTCAATACCAGCATAACTGAATTCATATCAGATTTTTCTATCTGATTCAATGCCCATGGGCTAAAAATTTGTATTGGATGTAAAAATCTGATATAAAATCAGTTATTTTGACATTAAATAGGTTGGGCTGATGCAATATCTGTTATGATAGATATAACATAATTCTAGGTAGATATAATATCACTCCTGATAGATTCAATACCAGTTTTGCCTGATGTAAAATCAGATTTTTTCATCTGATGTAATGCCAGATGTGGGAATCTGATATAATCACATTTGCAGTGGTAGTCTGCAAAGTCCCTGAGGATTCGAAGTCTCCAAGGTCAAAGTCAAGGATGAGTTGTGTATTGGAAGTCAGGATTGACAATAGTTCAGTCAATCATAACCAAAGGGGTGTTTTTTCTTTTCAAATGAATCCCACCTGTGAAAATGAAGAAAAAAAACTGTTATACTTGCCAAAACAAGGAAAGTCAGGGAAAATCCCTGTAAAAAATGAACCCCGGGGTTTTGGGGTTGCATGAAGGCCATCCTGATTCCTGAACCCAGGGGCTTGGGACCGGGGCAGCCTCGGAATTCCAAGGTTTGGGACCATCCCTTGCGGTAATGAGAGCCATTGCCTTATCTTCTGGAGTCATCTTTCTAACCCCCATTTCTTATGCGGTCAGGTTGTTGATATTGTTTTTTTCTTCTTATAAACTGAATCAGATCAAAGAATGAATACAGATAAAATCTCCATGAAGCAAAGGAAGAGAAAAAGAAAGAAAATAAAACAGGAACAAAACAGGAAGATCAGAATATACACATGTCTTCAACTAGCCTGAGTTTGATAAGGCTCAATATGCAGCCGCGAAGGATCTCGAATCACTTCTAGGGTTTCCAGGCCCCGTGTCTCTTTGAACGGGCCTTGGCGCCTGTGTCAAAAAAAGGAAGAATATAGGAAAAGAAAAAAAAATGCTAGTGTCCGAGAATCGAGTTACGACTTCCTTTTCTTAGCTCGGCATGCCTAGAGAGAAGAAAAGTCATTACTTCACATGCAGTCAGACCCAATTTCGAGCACTATCTAATGATCTTCGAGAGTTTCTCACCTTTCTGTCCTTCTTATGTTTACTCTTGCCAACTTTCTTCTCATCTGAGGAATCGTCACTTGCTCCGTCGGAAACGCCGTTAGAGGTGTTCGAAGCGTTATCAGACGCTTCAGCAGACTTTTTTTTGCCCCCCCTTTTCTTGGACGCACGGCGTGAAGAGCCAACACGAATGTAGATTCTAAAGTGATAGATGAAAATAATAATCTGGTAAGTCGATGTTCCTTGCAATCGTGGACTTTTGATTGGGAACCCACGCATCATCCACTGCACCCCTTTGGGCGACGGGAAGGACTACAGGCTGGTGGTTCATCGCAGCAGTAAGGGTCGAGATACGATCTGACGACGGGAGACACAAAGAAACATTATATGAGTATACACTACTTTCAAAAATAGAGTCGGAGAAAAAGAAAGGCTGACAAAATCCAGCGGGCAATCCGCCTTTGACGGGTGTCTTAACTTGTCCATTGACAGTTCTGTTCGTAACACCTTTGAAAAATACAGTCTAGAAAACATATGAGGTAAGAAGCATCACGTGAGGTAAGCGAGCAGTCAACCATTTCGTTTTTCCAAGGAAACTCCTAGATTACTTCTTGCGTCTCAAAAACCCGCCTCCCAACCGATCTCTGAATCACAATATGCGTATGTCCTCTAATTAATCCTTTTGAACTCAATTGCTGGGGAGCAAGATAATAGGTGTTCGAGGGGGATGTGAAAAAGCCTGTTATAGTCGGTTATGAACAGCATCGAGGAATCAAAAAGAAGTTACTTGTAATGATGGAGCCGTTGATCTGAGCATACTTACCCAACTCTATCTTGTGAGCAAATATGTCCACGTCGAAGTCCGCATTGGGCGGGATTATGGCGTCTGGTGAAGGTCCGATTCTAATTCAAGTTCATGAACAGATGTCGATCCATCAAAATGAGCTCCCTTGCCTTGAAACATGTAAAATATTCGATTGATAAGAAACGCGTCTTACATCCTAACTGAGGGCATGTTTTGCTTGCTAGGGATGGAACCCATTGGTGTAGGGTTACAGGAACCCTCGGGGACTTGTTCACCGTTCGTCAGTCTGGCGCCACGGCAAAAATCCAGCTGTGATTAAAATGACTTGTCGTTAGGCCGGTGAGCCGAAAAAACCTATCTTGCCATCAGAACTGTAAGGGTAATGAAAAATGACATACGAAGTTGTTCGAAGAGGTAAGTGATTTAGTATTGTGTAGGGGGTTTGTAGGATCTTTGAGTCCATTGCTTTTGGCGGCTTCTTGAATCAAGGAAGGGTCGAGACATAGGTTGGATTGGGAGTTCTGATTTTCAGCCGCATGAGCGGGTTTGTCGATGAGGAAAAGGCCAAGCACGAGGGCAAGGAAAGTGCAACAGATTTTGGATCCTCTGAAGTCATGAGAAATAACAAAATTATACATTTTGAAATAGGTATCAAAAAGTATCTAAAGCAGAGCTATACCGCAACACAATGAAAGGGATGAATGAAAGTTTGTAAATGTGAAGACGAAGAAAATCAATATTATGTAGGTCAAGTATGAGCTGAGAGACCGGGAGAGGGGTGAAGAGGGAAAGATATCAGCGACAACAGAGATTGCTGACAAGACATAGGTAGTAAGGTACAACGGGCTTTTCTTCGCAAAATCAATGCTTTCAGCCACTCACGAATCTCTTATGTACTCTGTCGCTATAGGGTACTGTAAGTACCTTCAGATACACTGCCGGTCGAATAGAAAAAAGCTCGCAAGCAGTCCGAGGCGCCCCCGCCGTACAGGCGATACGGGCCGCCCTCCTACATAACCTCAAGTAACCGGTGCGCCAGTACAGGCTACAGTTGCGTCGCCGGCATCGAGGGCGCCTGTAAAGAACTTGAGCTGGAGTTACACTTACACCGTAAATATCACCCCTGTCGATATGTACTATACAGATTATAGTATACACCACCAGAGCGCTTTTCGCTCTTCCTGGCTGTCAAGGCGACGTCAAACAAAAAAGTATGGGTCGGGCTGACCGAGCGGCGCAGGTTTGTGCGTCGCACCGCCATTGGCCTGAACGGTCAGCCCGCCTGATGCGATTCGGTCAGGCTGTCGGTTTGGTCGGAATGGTCAACCGATTCCACACCGGCGGTTGTGGCCAGCCGACCGATCTTTGACTGCCCGGGCGGGGGCGGGCTGTCATCAACTATCATTTAGACACCCGCCCCCCTGACCCATGTACGACCGACGGTTTGCCGAGGCCATCACCGTCAAGCCTCTGGCAGTATGACCCAAGCTAGGAAATCCGACCGGGGCTGCATCTCTAGCTTTGGTCAACTGCTGGAGACCAGGTCTGACAGTCCTGCCAAACCAACGCAATGCTGTCTCAAAGAGGCTTGCCAGGGTGCCTCATGAAGGATGCAGTTGGGATGACCAATGTAGAGTCATCCGCTTGACTGGGTCACCCCCTTTTACATATGACACTTCAAAAGTGCCTCAGTGTTTCTCTTTTCAGGTGAGAGGTGGAGAAAAATTGGTATTTTTTTTTCAAAAAAATGACTGAGAGAAAAAAAAGCAGCTTGCACATGGATGTTGTGGGATTAAACATCCATCAGGGTCATGTAAGCCAAGCAGGCCTGGCCAAGTGGTCAAGATCATCAGCAGCATGTCATGAACATGATGGGTGCCATCTTGTGATGGCCGCTGGTCAACATTATTTTTTTGGCTCCATGATCTAGGCAGGAGTCCCACAGCAGCCTGCAGGCCAGAGCCAAAATTTTGGCTTCTCACAGCAGAACCTGCAGCTGTCAATAGCAGGGTTCACGATAGCTTCTTGCAAGAAGCAATTCCTCCTCATGCAAGAAACCGCAGCACTGCTGCAGGCTTAAAATTTAGTGCAGAACTTTAAATTTTTGCTGAGAAAATTAATGTCAGCAATGTGTGAGCAAGAAAAAAAATAACAGGTGCGAGAAGCAAAAAACACTATTTTGAACCCCGCTAATGCAGGGTCATAATCTCATGGACCGATGTCAGCAATGCAGGCAAACTGATGGCAGAGAACAGGCAGGCTGACTGAAAAGCTCTTGAATCCATAATCTCAGCAACGCTGAAACAGATACCGTATCTGCCATGTATCACTATGTATCTGAGCCCCAATAAAAAAAAAAACCTGACCAATCTGCTTTTATTTGCAAGGAGATTCAACAAACTTGGTTTTTGGCCATGCAGCTTTGCAGAATTCTCCATGATACACACAGTGTATCGTATCTGTTACAGTGTTGATCTCAGGACCACTCATGGCCCTGAGATAATTATTGGATGTTGGCAGCTGATTGTTGGGCCACCCCTCTCCTAATGGGTGGGCATGGGTCAACACCCCAACTGTCAAATTCAGGTCAAGAGACTCTAAGAAAGACAAAATTTCTTTTAAATTTTATTTATTTATTCCAATTCTACTGTATTTTCTATTTCCATGTCTCCTACAGTTATGGTTTATAAGTGGATCAATGATTAGTTACAGAACTGTAACCTACAGATGATCATTTGTGTATATAAACCATGAGTGATCAAGATATGTATTTAAATTAAGATTACACAAAAAAGTGGAGGAAATGACATCATCTCTCTCTTGGTGAATCAGTACAGAGAGAGATGATTAATTTAGGGGCTTACAAAAAACAACTCCTAAAAATTAGTCAACAACTCCTAACCGTCAGAAGATGTCCAATCCAACAGGAGTTGTTTTTCTAATTTGAGGGCTGAATAAGGGAGTTGTTGCTCCTATTCCCCAATAATTCTTTATGATTATTTTATTGAAAATAGGGTCTTGATCAAACAACTCCCAGAAATTGAATTTCCAACTCCCAAATTTCTGGGACATCAAGAGGACCATCTGTGGACAGTCCTCATGACATCCAACCCCAAAATTGGGAGTCAGATCTCCAAAACATTCAACAGGTTTGGGAGTCAATCCCCCAATAAATGTTGAAATTTTGAACTCAGCGCGCAAGAGGTTGAGGGCCAAAAAAGAAAGGTTTCTTTTTTGGGAGTGGTTCACGGAAAAAGAATGAAAGAACCAATGATTTTTATTCACAAGTATTTAGCTAGGTTTAAATAGACTAAATACAAGTGTGTCAAAATGTGGTTGGTTGAGAATGAATAAAAATAGGATATTGAATAAAAACTAAGAGAAAGAATAAATTGAGTTCTTGGAAGAAACAATCTTGGCAGTACTTCTCAGTCTCTTTTAGTCAGGCAAGAAGAGTTAATCAAGAAAAAAAAGAATTCTATCACAAATATTCAGAGGCGTTAATTCTAAATAATTAGTTTTTAAGAATCAGATAATGAACATAGAAAAAGAAAGAAGTAAATCATGAAGACAAGAGTTGTTGATTAAATTGCTATAGGGAGTTCTAATTAGACTACACAAATGCATAAGTTTCAACAGAAAACCAGCTATGATATGCTATAATTCAGTCCAGTTCAAGATGATTCAAGAAAGGATAAATGAGGTAAAATAAAGCAGAAGGATGGTGTGATTTTGGGGAAGAGTAGGCCAAAAGAGGTGAAAACTCAACAATAAAAAAATAAAAAATAAATAAAAGTAAATAAAACCCCCCAGGGTTCTTGGGAGTCAATTGTCTCACACCGCTGATTCTGCTCTTAGGTAAAGATGTTTCACTCATTTTTTCATGGTTTTCACACTTTGTACGTAGCAATTTTAAAACAGAAGTCTAATAGAAATAAATACTCTTAGTTGTTTAAATTCTTACACACCAGAGGTTTAGGATTTGGGTGAGATGCCCAATTTTCCTCAAAATCCTGGTGGGTATCCGGGTATCCCCAGGGATACCCGTTGGACAGACCCTCTCAGCCTGCAGACTTTACCGTCTCAAGGCCGACAAGGCACAACCTTGTCAGCTGGAAGGAAGAACTTCCGGTCAATTGTTGGCCACCCCCTCCAACCGTCCTAGGTGTAAATTAAGGGGCAGATATCTGAGGATACCCGCTTGGATACCTGAGGATACCCACTCGGATACCTGAGGATACCCGCTTGGATACCTGAGGATACCCGCTTGGATACCTGAGGATACCCGCTTGGATACCTGAGGATACCCGCTCGGATACCTGAGGATACCCGCTCGGATACCTTCTGTGGCCAATGGATACCCCCCAGTGGATGTGGATGTCCAATTCTGCTGAAAAAGTGAGCTGATATCCGCATCTGTACAGATATTAAGGGATGGTCCCAAACGTCGGGATTCCGGGGCTGCCCCGGTGCTGAGCCCTGGGGTTCAGGAATTGGGATGGGCCTCACAAAACACCGAAACCCCGGGGTTCATTGTTTACAGGGATTTTCCCTGATTTTTTGTTGTTTTGGTGCGTATAACAGTTGTTTTTCATTTTCACATGTGGGGTTCATTGAAATAGAAAAAAAAAGGTCGCAATGGGCCATCAAAGGCCAAAAAACAAAAACCAATCCCAACACAGCACTTATGGTTGAGATAGGTAGGTAGTGCTGGGCTGTAGTGCCATCATTGATTCAGGGAAAAAAAATTGCAGTAACCCCCGTGGCTTTGGGGCAGACCCGGAACTCCCGGGGTTTGTTCCTCGGGATGACCCTCTAGCTCCTTCCCGAACCCCAGGGCCATGCCTCAACAGATATCCGGATGCAGCGGGGCCATCTCTAGTTGTGACATTTATGTAACAGGCTATGTACATATGTGGAAGTTCAGGATCCAACTCCAACAGCTCATAACAAATGGAACCAAAGAATGAACAAGGAAGAACATTATCACTATGAAAAATGTGGCTCAATTTAGTGTGGCACCAACACAACACAAGACTGGACTGAGACAAGAGAAAGAGCCAAGATAAGATAAGGAATTCAGTCTGAAACAGAGAGAGAATTGGATATTCTTATCAAGAGGAAGATGTGCGGTAATTATATCACCCAGATGGTGATTAAACAAGCAATGAGAAGAAAGTTCCAAAGAGGATTAGTATGAAACATAACTGATAGTGATGTGCACCTGTGTCACTCTAATTCTTCCATTACAAATGGAGGAAAGAAGGTTCACATCATCTATTTGGAATGGAAAAATGGGTGGAGCTGGATGCAAGTGGGGCCAACCAGCTGTCCCATCTCCTTTTTGCAGCTCAGTGAGCTGGATTGAAACTGTGGGTTTAGTATTGGTATGACTCCCTTCAGCCCAGCCATTGTAGTCTGTTAGCATAAGTGCACCCTCATCTGAGGGTGTGGGTTCAATTCTCACCCTGGTTAAGGGTTAGGGGGTAGGTTTAGGGGTTCGCGGTTAGGTTTAGGTTTAGCTGTGAAAGAATTAGGAATGGGGGTTACAGTTTATCCAGCTCATCCAGCTATAAGCTCTGATCCAGCTCATCCAGCTAGAAGCTCTAATCAAGCTCATCCATCTCACATATCCAGCTCACCCAGCTCCAATCCAGCTCACTCACCCAGCTCAAAGTCAGCTCACCAAGCTCAAATTGAGCTGGGTGGAGCTGTACAGCCCCTTGACAGAAATAATGGAACCCCTCCATGCAATTTCAGCTGGCATGAGTTCAGTTTTTTATGTCAAGAGGCTGTACACATCCAGCTCTGCCAATTTCTCCATTCCAAATGGAGGATGTGAACATTTTTTCCTCCATTTGAAATGGAAGAATTGGAGTGAAAAGCCTTCTGATGTGTGGGAATTCTTGGCATGGGTACATCAATTTTTGGAGGGGTTTGAGGTTATATTGAGAAAGGTTACTAGTGTGTGGTTGGTGTGTGAGCTAAGCTCTATAAAGAATGACCTGGCAATTTGGTCATAGGCTTCATTTGAGAAGTTTCAGAGGTGTGGGAGGTATTATTATTATTATCCATGAGGGGGGGGGGGTACTTGTGATAGTTATTGGTGTTTTACCTTTGTTTGAGGGCCTGTGGAAAATCTTGAGGGACCTTGATTCTGTATGTAGTCTTGCTGTGCCTTGAGGTTCAGGATTAGCTTACCACAACACCTGTCCTGCCCTGCAGCAACACGGTGTCCAAACATGGAAAACCCATGTTTTTTTTACAAAGGCACTTTTATTTTTTTGGTTAGAATAGCTCATTTTTGCCTAATTTTAACTCCTGAGACATGTAGTAAAAAATGCAAACAAAATGTGCTGTTTGCCACCACAAAAAGTGCTATTTATCCTTGGAGAAATATAGGTATTATTTGTCCAGTGTATGTAGTCTTAGCATCCAAATTCTGTAGCCAATCCACAGAAGTCCAGAATTGCTCAGAAAATACCCCAGTTGTTTCCCTAGATTATCATTTCTTTCTTGTTGTAGCCATTGATAGGTTCTTAGTTAATAGACTCCAAAAATGGAAGTTTAAACAACACCCCCCCCCTCTAATTTCTAGTCCCCCATTCATTTGGGAGTTGTTTGCCCCACTGCCGCAGTGGGAATGGGATTCAGATCCTCAAAAAAATGATTAGAGAAATAATGAAACCATTGGAGGGGTTGGAAGTTGATGGCTCAAACCTTCTGAGGGAATCAGGGATGGCAGTCAGCTCCTGTCTAAAAAGCCTCAAAAGCTGGGAGGAAACCTCCTGGCTTTCCTTGTGGACACTGAGTGTACACTCTCAATAGCCAGGAGGGTCCCTCTCAGTTTTTTAGAGTAAAACATTATCTAAAACACTGTTTCTCCAAGACTACCTGTATGAAACTCTTCTACCTTGAAAGTTGCCTGGGAGAAATTCAACATACAAAAATGATGTGCCCCTTTTTTAGTTTGAGAACACAAACAAAACCCACTTGGTTGTAAACATGTTTTCAGGGAATAAATACTGGTCCTAAATTTGAAGAGCACAGTCTTGTTCTAACTTTGTACACATAGTGAGGTAGAGTTTCTTGATGGGGCTTGCCACCAGTATGTTTATATAGGCATAAAACTTGAAAATTTGAATAAGGGATGAGAAATAGGGATGATTTGAATGGATTAACTGCTTCCACAAACAAACTTTATACCTTTCTTATTTACTTTTAAATCAACTCAGCAAGAATGAAGTGGTTAATCAGTCTTCCCTTTCTGGTACTGACTCTAAGCATCACCACAAATGCAATGTATGATTTGGACATCAGTAACTGTGAGGACCTTTTTGGGTGCTGTCCCAATCTGTTGGAAGAGAAGAGTGATTTTTTGGAATATGATGCACTTGATCATGAAAATATTTTGAAGTGGGAACATGTCACCCCATCTCAAGCCCACTTGATTGAAAAAAACACACATCACCCCAATCATTCAGCAACTTTAGACTCACCAACAGATAACTCAATGAACTCATGTGTTTTAGTGCAGGAAGGAAGGGGGACAGAAAATTGCATGGCTTCTCCATTTTCAAGCTGGGGAAAACAGGAATTCAGAGTTGGCCATCAGAAAATATATGATAATACTGACTGGGAAAATTACAATTATATCACCCATAATTCTCCAATAGGCATTGTTTCTGGATCAAAAACTAAAACAACCCCAGATGAATTTGAATGTTCTGTAATTCCTAGCAATTTGATGGAAAATCCTATGGGGATTGAAGATATTACAAAGTTTTTTGATTTAGCAGATCATGATTCCCAATCTATGCCTAGCTTGATGAGCCAAGAACTTCAATTTGAAGCCTTCCAAAGCTTTGAAAATCTCTTACACAACTCTCCTCAAGTTTCAAAGGGATATTCATTTGATCATCACATGGTGAATACACCAGCCCCGGATGGAACACAGGATATCATTGACACTTCACAGATTGGGAAGAATATCCAGCTGTGTAACAATTACCGCAAAAACAAGAGTAAATTTGAGTATGGAAAAAAATTGATGGGGATCAATAAAAAAAAGGGAAAACATGCTGCCAATATCTTCAAGAGAAAGAAATTTGATCTACCTGAATCTCAAAGTTCTCACTCCTTCAAAAGACAGCAAGGAAGCTTATTCAAAATTCCTTCTGGAAATTCAGAGGCAAATCCTAGCCTAAGCAGCAGTGATCCCTTGCCCTGGATGAGGGAAGAATTGGATTTAGAAAATCAAAAGGTTTCACCTGAATCTATGGAAACAAATCCTACAATTGAAATACCTCAACCAAGGACCTTCACTGGTTGCAGTGAAAAAGTTACTGATCAATTTCTGGGCAATCTTATCTCATTAAAAGTTAACACAAGATTGGAAATTCCAAGGATAAGCTTCCACAGAGGAATTTTTGATTTGGGAGACTTAAAACCAGACTTGAGAAAAAAGATAGAGTTGATGTTACAATATGCCAAGCTACCTCCTGAAGATCCTCTCATAATGGCCCTAGATAAATTGCCTTTCTTGATGAAAGTTCCTATTTTCAAGAAAACTGAAGAAACACAAACATCATCAGAAAGGAAAAGCTACTATCATCAATTGACTCAACAGAAAACTAAGTTTTTTTATGACAAGCAAGATACTTGGTTCAGGTACTGGAAACACCAAACCAAAAAGGACTTCAAAATTGAATTTCCCAAAGATCCCAAATATTCCAATCTTGGAAAAATGTACTGTGTTTTCCTGTATTATGTGGAGATGATCATCACAATCATACCCAAGCCAGAAGACAGTTCAGAATCACAAGACAATCAATCCAAATACTGTCAAGATTTAGAATCTGCAAGAGAATGTTTCTTAGAATTAACAGTTCCTGGGAAAGTGACTGGTAATACAGATGCTCTATGGAGTAAGCGGAAACAGATTCTGACACAGCAACTCATATACTATCAACACTCCAGGCCATCCCATGTATGGAATTTTGTGCAGTTCTGGATGGAAAGAAACTACGAAAGCCTTTGGAATTCCCAGAAAACACATAGTGATCAACTTAAAGATCATTTTAAATTCTTCTTCAACTCTATATTTAACATTTCCATTGAAAAACTCACCAAAAGATACAGTGATATGATTTATCAAGATATCTGATTACCATTTTCAACTTCTTCATGTCTCAGATGAATATTCTATAGAAAATTTTTAACACATACTTTGATTTTGCTTCATTCTACCACAACCTCATAAATAAAGATGTGTTTCCTTTTGTTGGAATGTGCAAGTACCATAAACTTGAGTGAACATCAAGAAATTGGAATTGAAATCTGCCTTTTATTATTAGTATCTGCCTGAGGTCTGTCAGATATTGTAAGATTTAAACTTCAAAAACATCTTCTTTTAGACAACAATGGTCTAAGACACTGAGAAATTTCTATTTACATTAGCCCAGCTCAAAGCATTGGAATCTCATTCCTTGTTCACTTAGGCTCTTGATCAAATGAACACCAGTTTGTGGAGCTCCAGATCCCAAAGCGGGGGGCAACACAGGTTGAGTTACACTAACAGCAGCATGAGTGCAAATTTGCTAACAGCTAGTGGTTTATCTGTTAGCTTTGGGGGGGGGGAGTTCTGGTGTTCTAGCTTCCATGTAGTAAATCACTAGATGCGAAGTGCTGGGATCTCTCACCTGCTCCACCTCAAGGTGTAGAGCTTTAATATGTCCACATCACAATGACATGTAAGGTAAGTTATGGCACCCTTGCAGCTCACGACACCCAACCTTTGGGTCGTAGCTTATGATTTGTGGGTAATTTCTCTAAAGATTATTGGGCTTCCTATCCTACAGGCCAAGGAGGAATAATCCTGGGCCAGAAGGAAGAAAACACAGGAAACAGTGGACACATATAGTTTATCTGCATCAGGATTGGATTGGAGTACAAAAAAACCAACAAAATGTGGACTCTTGATTTGGGTATCATGCTTGAATTTATGTGTTGGTATGAAATGTGACACAAGTGCTTGAAAGAAATAGCCCTTTACATTACAACAATTGATGCAGACCTGTCTTTTGATACAGCCCATCAAGTAATTTTTTTTTGATACAAACAGGGGTTTTTATGCCAATATATTACAAAGTTGGGGCCAAATGTGTCCATGTTACCTACCCTCTTATTGGCCAATTGAGGGAAGTGACTTTGACTCAGTATTCATGTGAGAGAAGTTTTTATTTTATTTTTACTTTTTTCATTGAGAGTGTTTTAACACAGCTTCAATGTTGCAGGTTTTTTCATCTTCCTTTTTATAAAGGTGGATTCATTCATATTTTTTTTGAAGGGAAAAAAAGAGAAAAGAGATGATAAAATAAAAGGAATGTTGAAGACATGTTAACCCACATATACTGATTATTCTAAACCAAAACCAAAACAAAACAAAGAACTCAAAATAAGAATTAAGAAAAAAAGAAAAGAAAAGAAAAGAAAAGAAAAGAAAGAAAAGAAAGAAAGAGCATATGAGTGAAAGAAAGAAAAGCACATAACATATAAATCCAGGAGGAAAAAAACAGGCATATATGTATATATGTAAATTGATTGATTGATTGATTGATTATTTCTTTCAGCCATCTAACATAAGAAAAAAAGATGTGACTAGAATGAGGAACAAAAAAAAGAGAAAAAAGAAGAGAAGCGGAAAGAAAATAAAATAAATAAAGAAGAGAAACAGGAGAAGAGTTCAGGAACTCAATCCAAGATTTTAACAAGAGAGCTAAAAGTGATAGGGGAGATAAGACTGCCCATCGAGCCGTCGATATTAGAACCGTTAAGATGGAGATGACTTAGGGAAGAGCGATTAAAATGCCCGCCAATCCCGGCCAACATCTTGATGAACTCGGCCCTCCAACGGACCAGATTGCCAGAACTTAAGCCGGCTAGAGTAAGATTCCCAATGACCTTCGAATGGGTTTCTCCTTCAGATCTTAGATCCTTCGACAATTTGGGTAAGAGCCGCACCTTGTTTCGAAGCCCTTCTTCTTCTGGCTCTTCCAAGGAGTTGGATGAGGTTTGAATCACAAGACTCGAGCCGATCTCTTTCTCAGATTCATCAGACTCAAACCCGCCCCCAAACCAATTCATAGGTGGCTCGACAAAGCTAGAGGTTGGATGGCGGGTACGTCCCTTGAACAATCCCGCGATCGGTGTGAAAGCAGCTCCAGAGGTGGTCAGGTCGACTTGTTCGACCAAGACCCGCATGGTTTCGACTAGACGTTCGACAAGGATTTGGATGAGCAGAGCCTTGCTGGAGGCGGTGGACGACACGTGGTCTTCACCGGCGATGAGGAAACGGCCAAGGGTCCGGACCAAGGCGCGCATTAACATCGACCGAGTCTTCAGTCGACTCTCGCCCGGGATCGTCATCGAGTTCGGCTTGAGACTGACCAGATTGAACAGGCCCATCGACATCACTTCCGCTCGCATCCGCAAGTCTTCCTCCGAGATCGTCATCACCATCTCCTCTGCAGTCATCGGTAGCATCTTTGTCAAGGTCTCTATCAGCTCCTCCACCACCCATTCAGTCCTCGTCCTGCACAAAGATTCCTCGATACGACGCCGGTTGCTATCTAGCGTACCCACTTTCGATATCAGGCTCATCGCTGCGTCCACATGAGTCGGTACTACTGATATCGAGCGCAGGCGTTGGTGGATACCCGGAGGAATATCTTGAGCTGCCTTGATATCAATCGTCCCTTCTCCCTCGAAAGGCGTTCGATCCATTTGATGTGGAGAATCAACTAGAAAGAATAAAACTAGGCGAAGAAGAGCTGACACGACACGGTCCGGTTGCTCATCGAGATGAATACCATGACCCACATCGGATAGAATTTGCAAGGCTTCCCGTCGAATCCTCAATCTCTCAAGCTTAGTTAACCGAAGACTCTTGCGAAGGTTTTTCGGATTCTCTCCGAATTCGCATAGGCCAATCAACAGGCTCGTCGTACGAACCGTCCGTCCGATATAAACAGCACTATCATCTGACATTGCAAATGATCGTAAGATGTTCAGTATACTGAAGATCGTTTCAACTTGGCCTATTGGTGGACGCAGATCGGACTCCCCCTCCTCATCCGAATCGTTCGCCTCCTCTGTTGACAATAAATCCTTAGGCGGCGGCCTTGCATCTTCGTCTACGGCTTGGGACATCAGGTCATAAAACCCATTCACCGGTTGCTCGTCAGTCCAGACCTGGTCATCAGCGTCATTCCAATTGGGCTTGAAGGCTACATCTTCTAACAAGTCCAAAAGTTCTTCTAGGAGATCTTCACACATCGCTAATGGCATCGAAATTACTCCCAAATTTCCACTGTTATCTTCACGGAATAACTTCAGAGAAGGGCCAAGAAGTGTGAGAGTATTTAATGCGTAAGTCACTTCGCTGCCGATTCTGGATTTTAACGACATCACCAGGGAGTGGACATCCACTAAACCTACACGTACCAAGGAAACAAGGAGAAACCAATGATCAGTCAATCATCACTAATGAAACGGCGGTGTGGGATGAAAGATGAGGGATGACTGCAAAAAAGATTCTACCTAGATCATCTAGCGATCGACGAGGTTTTGAAGACATACGGAAACTGAATATTTCTTCAGCTTCCTTCAAATCCCATCCACCGGTATTGTCGACTGGTCTACATAAGGGGACGTAATCGGTTCTCGGGGGAGGGACGACCGGCCTTTGGAGAGTCTTGGCAGCGATTCCATTTGGATGGCCGGCTTCGGACTGATACGGCGGTTTACCTTTTAGGGGGGAGCCAGGGGGGTGAGGGGAAAGATACTCCTGGTTTTTACCTGAAGACGGTGGGTTGGCAATTGATGGGGTGATGGCCCTAGAAACAAAATTACCGGGGGGTTGTTGCTCGGGATAATGGGGTGATGGTGGGTTTGGACTGAGGATAGATAGATTGCGATCACTCTTTTCCTGCTGGGATCCGACCATAGTCGTCGAGCTATCGGAGGACTGGATCACCGGTGGCATCAATTCGACCATGGTACCACCAGCAGGAGATGGCTCCTGGGAATGACTCGGCTGTTGAAGGGCAGACGAGGGTTGATCGGCTGGGCCGTTGCTTTGTTGCAGATTCGGGGGCGCATTGGATGGCGGCAGGACTCCGAGATTGGTATCATTTTCGCCCTGGAATGTTGGTGAAACATGAGGATGGTTACTCGAAACTGATGGAGTTCGACTGCCTGGCATGCCATTTTGGGAATCGTTGATTGGAACGCTTCTGGCGGTAACGAGTGGCGATTTGGATTCATGGTCTAAAAAACAAAACCAGAAACAAGAATCAGAATGATTAATTTGATAGAAATATACCAAAGACGACAGGAGGCAAAAAAAAATTGACCATGTTTCATTCTCTTCTTCTTATCTAAAGTATTAGGTGGTTTATTGTTGTTATTAAGATTTGGATTTTTCAACGGGCCCTCTTGAGCAATTGACTTTTTACTAGATCGAGTTCTCTTGCCGTTACTATTTGAGCTATTCGGCAGTGATGTGGAAGTATTGGAGACCTAAGAATCAAAGAATGAATGAATAAAACGAAGAAGAATCTACGGCGCAAGAGATAAATTGAGAACTGGCACTGACACTTTCGCTATTAGCCCCAACCAAACTTCCAGGACTACCTGCTTGACTTCCACCAGGGGACATGGCGCCGTTAGCCGGGTTATTAGAGCCGCCAGGAAGGGCGCTTGGATCTTGATGGGAAGGGTTGATGGCGATGTTTTTGTTGGCGATTTGGGGGGTGGTTGGAGTGACGCCCATAGAGGCCGAACCTAAGCTCAAGTTAGTATTCATCATCGGGCTTCCGGAACTACTGAAGCTGGCCGAATGAGGCCCGCTACCCGGTTGATGATTGAAGAATCCGCCAGGAGTAGCATATTGACTACTGCCATGATTATTTGAGGGTGGGTTGTAAAGGTTTGGAACTAGAACTGTAGACCCATGAGCGGCATTTTGAGATTGAGTTTGACCAGCTGATCCATTCCAGCTCGCAAGCTGGCCTGTCCCTCCAGGTGGTTGAGATGGGATATTAGATTGATTATAGACCGCTGTTGCTGGTGATGTGCTGAAGGAATTCGGAGGCACGCCTGACCAGTTGACTGCGGGACTTTGGTTCGGGTTCAACGACGGTAAAGATGACACGGCACTTAAGTGTTGTGGAGTTGGTTGAGATGGTGGGGGTTGTGGTTGAGTTTGCTGGGGAAGGCTTAGCGGAGTTTTTGTGGGAGAGTTGGTAAAGTTATTCGATGCACTGCCTGGCCAATTCGGTGTCGGATGTTGCGTGCCGGTTAGCGGTGTGCCAGTTAGCGCGGTCACCGACTGAGGTGACGCTGATGGGTGATGCTGCGGAGCTGGTACAGCCTGGTGGGTTTGATGCAGAGGGGCTTTTGCGGAAGCGCCAACGAAAGCATTCTGATTATTTCCTATCCAATTCGAAGAGCTATTTGGAAGACTCGGAGGTGGGATTGAAGGCTGTAAGACTGGGTTTGGCTGCATGTGCTGCTGAACTAATTGAGACTGTGGATGTTGGGGTTGGGTTGGCTGTTGGGCGGAATGAAGCGGGTTTTGTTGTGGTTGCTGTGGTTGTGCTTGTGTCTGCTGCTGTTGCTGCTGTTGATGTTGATGTTGTTGCTGCTGTAGTTGTTGTTGCTGCTGCTGCTGCTGCATGTTATGCTGCATAACTTGCTGCTGTTGTCGCCTCCTCATCATCTGATAATGCTCAAATCCTTGAAGGTACTGGCCATAGACTTGCTGGAGCTGCTGGATTTGTTCAGGGCTGTAGCGAGACACCGCGTCCGCCCCATTTTGAGAGCTCCGGCGGCCTGCTGGCTCATTCGAAGGTAAGAAATCGATAGAAGCAGCTATTTGCGGCCAAGCTCCCAGACGAGTGACGTTGGCGCATCCACCGTTCTGTTGTACGACACCGAACAATTTGAATAGATCCACGGCCTGACCTTCGATCAATGGAGGAAATGATAACTGGATTGGATATCGAGAGCTTTTGGTGAGAAATTCTGTCAAGCTAGCAATGAAACGTTGGGAGTTAGTTGGGGATGATGGCGCGACGATGTGTGAGTTATTGATCGGAGTGGAGGGTGCATGAGCAAAGGACTGGTTCGAGTTGACGATAGCCGTTGGAGACGAAGCGACTGGGTTGGGTGTGTTCGACGCGTTCGGGATGATTTGTTGGTTAGTTGGTTGCGGCTGAACGTGCTGACTGTAGTTTGAATTCGACGCGATGGGTGGCGGTGGTCCCAATGGTCTTTGGTTGGAATGTCGTGGGCTGGGAGTGTAGTCCTGGTGAGACTGATTTTTGAAGATTAATTGCGGGATAGCTAGAGATGGCGACCGGGTTGAGACTGTTACTGCAATTAGCAAGGTTATTATTGTTAAGATTACCGGATGGGACGCTAGAAAGTGGCAAGACAGGCGGGCTTCCGGATTGTGGAAAGCCCGACTGGCTTGTTGGAGGAGCCGAATGAAGCTGCGGCTGTTGATTTTGTGCGCTATTACCTGGGGTTGATGATCTGAAGATCATCGCAGGATTGTTCATTCCAACCGCAGGCATGCCAGTGATAGATGTGTTACTGGTGCTCGGAGAACCTAGGGGTGGATGATCAAGAAGTTTGGAGGGCTTCTCGGAAACTTTGAGCTGATGTTGATTGATAAGATACTCTTTGTAAAGTTTCAGTTCAGCCACCCCACAGGTCTCGTGGAGATAGGCTTGCTCGATCGCAGCCATGGATGATTCATTGAGCCTGAGGTTGGGTCCGAGGATCGATTGGTAAGAGTTCGGGGGTCATAGCGTCCTAACTGAAGATGTGGGATTTCATCGATCAAATTCAGCATTCCAGGCCAATGGCAGTGATGGACCTGACTCATCAGTTGAGGCATGCAATTTTGATAGAATGAATGCATCCCGGGAATCTGATCGG